AATGCACTTCTAGCGTATCCACAAGTTACCAGTCCTATCCGAAGTATGTTTCTTACTGTGTTTATTCTGACCACTCAGGTGATGTTAGTATTTTGTGTGCTATACATTTTTTGAACGAACTTGCTTTGTATTCTTGCTTTTATTTTGTTAATATCTGCTTTCTGTTTCTATGCATAGCTTTTAACGGATGTTAGGTAGCCGAGCCAAGACACGATAGGTGGCTTTGTGTACTGTTATGCTCTAAAGCTGCCTGTTTCTCCTACAAATCATCATCTTCTAGGTTCTTTTTGTTTAAATTTTTACGTTGTACTCGTTCGCTGCCAGCATCACTAGTTTTATTCTCGCTAGGTGGCCAAACCATTTCAGTCTGTGTTTATCTTATTGAATTTAGTGACGGAAATTGTTCTTATAGTTCTTTTAATGTCTCATACGATCTTTCCTGTTTTATTTCGTCGGTTTTCTTAAACATCTCTTTTCCCAGATGGTTGGTGTTCTTTGGGTAATGACTGGGGTGTTGGGAAAAGAGAGAAGGATAGTACTTCGATAGGAGGACAGCCACATCCCCCTGAATGGTCAGAAATTCTTAGGTCCCGTCTATTTACCTAGCTCACTAATGGCTTCTCCAAGTACCACATCCCAGGCAACTGTCTTGGTTTACAGGATAAACTAAATGGTTGACACTAGATATGGGTTGATATAACTCATAAGCTTTGATTGGTAATTTATCTACAGAAAAGTGTCAAACCACAACTGCCTAGTGGAAGTTTATGAAAGAACTAAGGTTGGGGCATCAAAGCCCGACAGAAAATGTCGGCATGCAGAACTCAGTAGCACAGAAAGGCTATAGGAGGAGGAATTCAGAAAAGCAACGTCAGTAGTGGAAGTCAGAATTCGTTGGCCTTAGTTGCACGGGATTAGAATACAAATATCTATCAATCCCAATAAATGCTATACAATACATTCTAGAAAGATATGGTGTCGTTCTTACTGGCGATGCCGGGTCCATGCCTCTAAGAGGTCTACCACAAGCGACTGGACCCACAAACTGAGTTGCTTCTGATGTGATCAGGGAAGACCAGAGAATTGCACCTGGGCACGCATCTAAGATAATACAATGAGATACAGAACGGCTGATACAGACAAAGACAGAACTACATAAATTATTAAAAGATCAAGACATTAATGTGTGTTGCATACAGGGAGCACGGTTTAACAGTACACATAGATTCTCCCTCAGAGGGAATAGAATCTTCTGGCAAAACAGAGAAGATCGACCTAAGGGTATAGTCCTACCAGGCTATCAAAACCAGTTTCTTCTCAACCTGGGAAATCCATAGATCCAATCAAAACTACAATGAGGTCACCTTGTCGGCCTGAGAATCATTGACATAGATCTGAAAAATTTAAATTTTAACTCACCGCCTAACAAAGACATCTACCTGAACAGTTTAACAAAATAGAAACTAGATAATATTGGTGATTTTAATAGTCACCACAGCGGTGGGTATCCAGACTTAAATGCTAAAGGAGAGGTTGTGTAAGACTTTATTATAAGTGACAGCCTTGTTCTTTTAAACACACCGGACGATCCACACTCATACTATCATGGGTCTTGGAGAACGATAAGCAGATTCTTCACTACTATAGCAACTGAGGATGTTGAGAAGGCCATGAATAGAAGAGTGTACCCACAATTAGGAGACAGCGACCATAAGCCTGTAGTCTAAACCATGAAAAAAAAAGGGGGGGGGGACCGGATATGATCAATAGAATCCTTTCTCTAAGCTGGAATTATAAGAAAGCAAACTGGTGTTCTGGTGCGTGGTGGGGAATGAACAGGCAGACAGATTGGCTGGATCTGCACCACTGGGTGGTGAATTGATACAAGACTAGGCAGATATGGTCAAGGCCCCTTTGGAACAAGCAACAGAATCAGTAGAGATAAAAGATTATTATGGCCTAAAGAGAATGAGGCATCTGGGTGTAACCAGAGGGTCTGGCCGGCTCACTACACTCAGAGGAAAGGCAAGAGGGACATACAATCAGATTATGACCGATACCATCAGCATCGGAACTCTGTGCTGGCTGCTGAAGATGAAGATGGAGCATGCATGGGAATGCCCCGTGTGCTTTGATTTCAATACTTGACCCAACTTAACTCAGCTCAACAGGTGTTCTTTTTATAGGGCACGTATAGAGTGCCCTGAAGCAAATAAGAACAATGAAATCAGATAAGCTATAAACTCAAAGCTCTAAATTCTCGTATCCATGATACATCAAAAGTAATCAAACCAAGAAAGAAACGAGAGGACTACAGCCATACTGCTCCCCACGAAAGCATGAGCTGCACGCAGAGCTGAGTGGCTAGGAAAATAAATATGAAGTCAAATTCGTCTAATAAAAATATAATCCTCCACAACAAAGCGAAAACAGTCTACACTGAAAAGGGGGGGGGGGGGAATAACAATAGAGGCAGCTCGCACAGAAAGACGGCTTGGCTCAGTTTCGAGAAAGGTACAAGACTGTGGAATCTTATTAGAACTTTAAATGGGGACAGAGCACAAAGAGCCAAAACCGTGCATAACACAAACTCTGGTTCTGTAAGTGATAACAACGAAGCATACTTATTGGTTAGAACCTACCAAGCATGAGGCACAATCGTTATTTTTCTAAAAAGAACAGAAACTAATAGAAATCAGAATTCAGTCCTAATTGATCCTAGCAAATCAAAACTCCAAATCCCCAGCGGAATGCCTGAAGACATATTTCACCGTGCAGCAGCTAGAAGATGGTCTTGCAATTTATTTTAGGCCTACATGAGCTGGTGGAATCACAAACAAATTGCGGAAACACATTGGACTTATGGGCTAAAATTATTTTCTTGGGATCTTCAATCAAAGCTGTTACAGGCCTTCATCCGTCCACATGGAAGCAGGTTAAAGCTAGGAAAGGACAAGAAAAACCCCAAACATTACAAACCCATAAATCTCATGAACTGTTTTGGCATACTGATGGAGAAGCTAGTCAACAGAAGAAGTATGTGGTTCCTAAAAACCAATGTTTGCTCTCCCCAACACAGACAGGATACAGGCAGCAAAGAGGATCAATTAGCCTATATTACACAAGACATTGAAAATATAATCCACGAGAGATAGAGAGTCCTTATTGTCTTCTTTGATCTTTCAAATGCTTTTGATACTGTATAGAAGGAGGGGCTGATGCTGAAAATTGTACAAGCGAAAGTCACTCACAACATACAGATCACAATGCTGTCTCGACGGGTATGGAAAACATCTCAGTAGACTCCCGCTGAAAAAAAAAAAAAAAAAACTAAGAGTAGAGAAAGTAGATAACTGGGCAACGAGTTGGGGTCTAAAACTAAACTAAACAAAAACTACAGCAACAGTTTTTATGCTTTTTTTTTTCTCTGTTCCATAATGATAGAAAATAAGGAAATAACTCAGACAGATACTGCCATGTTTCTTAGAGTCATTCTCGATACTAGACTCACATGGAAGCCAAACATAGAAAATATTTAACAAAAAAACTAAAAAAAAACTCGATGTAATGGGGAAAAAAAAACTTGACTGGAAAATTATTTAGAGCCAATACAAAATTACAAAAACAAGTCTATGGAATATGCCTGAAGCTCCTGGGCTGCAGAAACGAATATGTGAAAAAAACTATACAAGGTCCAAAATATAGGCTTAAGATAAACAAAGCAGTTAGAAGTATATCATTACAAAAATATTGATAAAATTGCTAAGTTAGAACCTATTGGGCTTCGAAAAGAGTAAAAAATCTCACTTAGTTTGAAAAGCTCAAAAGGTTCCAAAACATCCGCTGCACCAAAGGTTTTAAGAGAGAATAAAAAACAAACAAGAATCCAAATTATCTTGCACGAGAAACCTGCAGACAGAAGGCAGATATAATTAGATAAAATTAGAAATAAACACAGTTGACGTGTGAAGCTGTCACACTACAACTATGGATGATCTGTCTGGACCTATCCACTACATCTCTGGATGTCCTTAGAATTGGCTCAGAAATCAGCATTCCTATAATGTATGGGCATGCGATTTCACACATAGTTCCGCTAACAATAGTGCAAACATGGGAAGGTAACAGAATCAACATTACAAACGCAAATGGTATCACAGGTAGGTATACACTCAATAGCGGCGTGAGAAATTTGCAACAACTTCAGAGTAGAAGCAATTGCCTTCTTTCTACATGTGCAGACCTCAGTAATCGTGCAGAAAAGTGTTAATAAAACTATGTTCACTGATTCGAAATTGGTCCTTCAGGCTATCTCATGATCCAAACAGAAGAGCATTATCTATGAAATAAAAAATAACAGTACAATGCTGTCGATTAGTCATTCAGTAGGTACATGCCCACTGTGGTGTCTCTGGAAACGAAATGGCAGACAAGCAGACTGCTGGGAACCTAGAGCAGCCCAATCCACCTTAGAGCTTTTTAAAAAAAAGTCGCGCTTAAAAGAGGTTATGAAAGTGAACTGGGTAGAGAAGAATAAAAATTACTGACCATAACATGACAGTATTACATGCTTGGCACAAATACTCAGACCAGTAACTCAGAATGAGACATTGCAAACTCAGAGCACACCTACGTCGAATGAGTTTTGCTAACTCTGCTGCAGGTGCTTGTGGCTCACCAAAGCAAACTCAAGAGCATGTCTTATAGGACTACCTAGATTTGGCCAGTAGAGAGAAGAAATAAGGCCTATAGGAGCGTTCCTACATGACAAACTATGGGCACCAGAAGACTTCAAGCGCACCGTTCTGTTTATGATTCACATTGGATCATACACATAGCAAACACTGATCGCTGAAGAAGAAGAAGAAGAAGTTAGAATGAAGATTGTATTTATTTTTCGTCTTTTAATCTTTAAAATGGTCTATGTCAACGTTTTTTCTAGAAACTCTTTGAGTTGCCACACTTTGACCATCCTGCAGACGACTGATACCTCTCATAAAATGTTGGCGCTGACCAGTGTTCTCTTCTTTGTCACAGTTCCACGTCTGCTGGCAGAAAAACTCACAGCAGTCAAATTTGAGTAAGTTGAACATACTACAAAAATTGTTTATGTTATATGTTGTATTTGCGAGTCCGACTCGTAATTTCAACGTACCGCGATCGAAAACCACTGCTGGCTACGTGGATATTTATCATGGTTTGGTGCGTTGCAGGTCTACCCAGCCTAAAATGGGTAGTCGGATGCATGTTCTGGGGAAGTAAAGACGACCGGCTGACCACATTAAACACCTAGTGCCGATTGGTCTCTAAAAATATGGGTGCTCATCCAATATACATGGTGCGCCTAAAGGTGTAAAAAGGATCTGTATTTTTTTTTTAATTTACTTATTTGTCGTTTGTCATTTCTAGAGAGGGTTCTCTGCATGACTGATTAGCTGAAGAAGGCGAGTACATGATCATTCAAGTTTTTCAACTGGAAATGTGGAGCCAACATTACGCGTCCGCCTTTACCTCCAATAACTTTAAAGTAAAGGACCCTTTTCCACTACTTCAGGCGTATTGGGCATATAGGGCTAGACCTATATTTTATAGCCCAAACGGCACTTGGTGGGTGATGTGGTCAGAATCCAACCGGCGCCTTTACTTCCTAGGACTGCACCTGGTACCCATTCAAGACTGTGAGTCAAGGCCATTTTTTAAAAAAAGCCCGGCCCCGTCAAGACCCGAACCCACGACCCTCCGATCCGCAGGCGAGCGTCAAGCCGCTGGACCACGGCGGCTCCCCAATGACTTTACCTAGTACCCATTTTAGGTCGGTCTACTTATGACCCAAGGTCAGTGCTGGAAAAAAAAACTCCCACAAAGCAGATGTGAACCCAAGATCTTCAATCCAGCAGATCAGTATCTAGCCAATGTGCTGGAGCGGGTCCTTTTATATGTAAACTGATTTTTTTTTATTGCATATGCAGTATTTGTGAGGATTTGAACAATCTTAAAAGATTATGTTAACATGCATTCATTCAATCAATCCTTTCCGGTGGAGTAAACAAGGCAGGTCGAGGTTGGCGGTGAGGGGTGTGGATGATTGTGAGGTGGTGCTTTACATGGTCTCCACGCTAACAGTAAGTCAAGCAACAAACTCCGTGCCACAAACGACCGCACGAGATACTTGGGGCTGAAGAGTAAGCGTGGGAAAGTCCGGGATGGACTCGTGGTCAGTTGTGTGCCAGAGTCAGACAGAAGACAGTCGTGATGTCGTTACTGTAGTTTTAATTAAGTGGAGTTAACGTCGAGTAAATGAGTATTGTATCATAATGGGGAAGTAAACAGCGATGATTGCTATTGAATACATGTAATGGAATAGAAGGAATAAACTGGCAGAATGTCTATTGGAATCCGAGTGGGTTTCAGTTGTCACTTGTAAGAAAGCTGGCTCGTATGATAGCTGGGTCACTTTTGCTATGGCTCGTTTACTCTAGAACAAATACAGCTTCCTACATATGCGGCACCTAAGAAGAATACTTGACATTAAGTGGCAGGACAAGATTATAAACACTGCTGTATTGGAAATAACAGGTATCACGAGTTTTCTCAATGTTCAGTCTCCAAAAACTCAGGTGGCTGTGTCACACTTGGAGAATAGAGGATGGAAGAGTGCTGAAGGACATCCTCTATGGTGAATTATAGACGGGTAGAAGATGACGAGGCCGACCTCTACTTCGATATAAAGATGTGTGCAAGTGGGACATGAATGGTACAGGTACTGAGGTGGACTCGTGGGAACAAAATGCCATGGACCGTGTTGTGTGGAGGGGACACATCAGGAAGGGAATGAGAATGAAAGAAGAAATTACTGCAGAAAGGTTGTTCGCTCTATAGCGTCTGAGAAGAAACAAACTAAACACAAATATTGACAACAACGGTTCTAAAATCCCATGCTATACTATGGAAGACTTTTCTTAAGTCTGGTGGGTCTTGCTAGTCATACTCGCCATCGCCATGGGCTGAGTCCCATGCCTCATTGCGCAGTGTGACCCTATCGTCTGGAAAAAGAGAAAGAGGATAATCAAAAATTAGGGTTGGCGTGGATCTCCAACATTTTGTTTCTCGCAAACAGTTATTTGTTAGTTATCTCCCCCTCTCCCACTTTTTTCACTGTTTACCTGTTGCTCGTCTTCATTTAACGTGTCCTAATTGTATGTTTTTGCTAATCTAGCTCTGGGTATGAATAATAAACTTAAAGAAAAAGAAAATGTTAGTCTAAGCGAGAGGTAGAGTACCTAATTATGTTCTTCGCGCCGATCTATTGAGACTTCAAATTATGAGATTTGGTAAAACGTTTGACAATCATTTTTCAGCCTCGGCGGTGTCCCTCCAAATTTGACTGGACCTTTAAAACAGAACTTTGATCTGACTGAGGCGGAGAGATACAAAGTCAATGAACTCAAAGGTCCAGAGTCATTCGTTTTCTACAGAGGTAACCGTTTTCCCCTGTACTTAATAAATACTGTTTAGAAAAGTGAAGGCATGCCTGCTGACCCGAAGGTATTATGTTCGAGTCCGTGCCGCGGTTGATTTAAAAAATATAGTAATAGTTGACCTAAGGCTCCTTAGACGATCCAGCGAAAAAAGTGTCCGGAAATATCATGGGAAGTAATGGCGACCAACGTGGTGTTTAAGCGCATCACCTAATCCTCAACAGCAAAAAAATGCTAGGCTTGGTTCTGCAAGGCCAAATAAAGGATACGCAGCTAACTTTAGGAATGCGTGAATGTTAAGTAATCACCCAACAAAAACAAATTATAACTGGAACTGGAACAGCATTTGCAAATGAAAATGTGGACGAAGCGGTTTTGGGAATGCTGTGGTGCTTTTATGTCGGTTCTTAACTCATAAACTCACGTGAAAAGTGATACATTGGTAAACTGATAGATGACAAGCTAGATGGGAGCAAGTGAACAATGCAGAAACGCCAGTAGATCATTACGTTTTGTAGAGAGTGGTGCGGTGGGGAGCGACCAAAGGATCTAACCGCCGTTACACTCAGATGAAAGGCAAGCCGACATTTAATCATTCAACTGCTGGTACTATCCAGAAAGGAACTCTGCGCCGACTAATCAAGATGGAGACGGGCCCTTACAGGGATGTACTGACTGCTGACTACTCAAGATGGCGATGAGCTGACTGCTAAAATTTTGATCCTTAACCCACTTTAACAAAGTGTGTCGACGCAGGAAAGTATGGAATGTGAGATATATGTGATGTATAGGAGGCACAAAATAGGGGGTGCTGCAGTTTCACAGTGCCTATGCATGAGCACCAACTGTACCCGGGCCCAGAAGGAATGCAAAGTACAAATGTAATTTGCCGTCCGGAAGCAAGCGGCTAATGGGAGCTGACATGAAACTGGATGTTTCATTCCTTATACAACGAAAATTCAATTAAACATGGACAAGAGGCGTAGCGTTAGATGACTGAGCTCAGAAACCTGGTCCTAAAAACACTGACCTCAATTCTACCCCCCCCCCCCCTTTTTTTTCTCCCTTTTTTAAAATTTGTTTTTAAATTGAAGATTTTTAGCCAACACCCGAATTTGTAAGGTTTTTTTCCCTCTTGATTACTTACTTGGACTTCCCAACCAATATTGTGGAGATACCGCCCAGCTCTTTTAATCTTGGCAAGTAGTTGCTTTTGGTCGCTGTTAGTTATTGCATTCTCCCCCGTATATGGACTGGAAAGTTACGTTGTCCAGTTAATGAACTGAGTGCATGGAGCGACACTGGAAGCTGTTGTGTTATATACACCCCCCATATATACCATTTCACCATATAACCAGCATCTAGGGTGTAAGACTAACTGAGGTCATTCCTTTCTGAGTCTAGCACTAGTCAAGTCTCTAAAAAAAAAACCAGCAACCGCTTAACGAAACTAATACAAGCACCCAATTTATGATTGACCAGTGCCACGAGTCTCGTTTAATATGGATGGATGAACACATGCCAGTGATGATTTGATGATGTTAGATGAACAAGTAGACTATCGGTCGCTGTCGTTCAACTAATGGATCACTGACTCAATCTATACCAGCACAAACTCTGAATAGTTCTGTCAACCACTTGGAGAACTGCATGCCACAAGATCCGCACCTAAAACACAAGTGCGATTCAAGTATGCTCTGCTAGCACACTACTCAGCCAGCAGGTCTCACCAGTCACAGATATTTCTGAACCGTTATTTCATTTCCGTTCAGTACGTGCCAATCAGTTTGGCTAAGCTAAAGACGCGCAAACGATACGTGCAGCTTACTAGGACTACAAGTACTGCGACGAAATCTCAGCTACTGGCCTCTCGCTTGGTATACGTGTTAGTTATTAACAATCATGAGAAAACTTGGGAATTAAGATCGGCACAGCAAAAAACGAGACGTACACCAGACACGCCAGAAGACTTGTTAATCAACATAGAGCTGGTACAATTAGCCATCGGACGTTGGGTTTCATACTGAGGGGAGGATCTGAGCACCTATGGACATGTCCGGAGTGCAATGATGATAACCCAACTAACTAACTAACTAACTAACTAACTAACTAACTAACTAACTAACTAACTAACTAACTAACTAACTAACTAACTAACTAACTAACTAACTAACTAACTAACTAACTAACTAACTAATCATGAGGAGATTTAGACATTAATATTCTCTTTATTCTACACGTGTTATTAGAAATGTATTTTGATTGTGTCTAGATGTTTGTATTGTGAACTGCAGATTCAGAAAATGGCGAGTGGCCTTGTGCCGAAGAACTGGCAAATGTCGTATTCGTGGAACAAGTCAGCCCATGTGAGATGCAATTTTAAGTGATTTTTAAG